AGGTTCAATAAGAAGAACAAACCTCGGTCGAATAGGGTTCAAATTCGTTTGGACGAGTGGATACTTAATAGCTCTGGTCCCTCAATGATTCCTGGAAATCTGCCTGAAGATTCTACAAGTATCGTTCCTAACCCTCCTACCTTGAGTGAGGTGCAGCAGATCATCAACAGCATGAATAACGAGAAGTCTCCTGGAATAGATGGTCTCTATTCCGAATGTTTCAAATACTGCGATGAGCGAACGATTCAAGAGCTCCACCGCCTTCTAGTGAGAGTTTGGAACGAAAACAAGTTGCCCGAAGAGTGGAAGAAAGTTCTGGTAGTTCCAATACCAAAGGTTAGGAACGCTAAATCGGTGGATGAGCATAGGCGTATTAGCCTAAGCTGCACAGCATACAAGGTGTATGCGTCTTGGATTCTGCAGAAACTTGGAAATTGAGTCAATAAGACTTCACCAAGCTGCATTTCTTCCGAAAAGGTCAACAACTGATCACTTACATGTGTTGCAGAGGATTCTGCAGGAACGATGGAATGGTGGGAGTCCTCTTCTATTGATGTCCCTTGACATTGAAAAGGCGTTCGATAAAGTGTCTCTTGATGCACTACCTGTCATTTTAATAGGTATGTTTTATTGATGTGAATGACGTATGCTAAATCTAATTTAACCTCTGGTTTCCTCTCCAATTCTTCTCCCTTTCAAGGCAAGGGTGTTTTGGACCTCTTCATATATCGGATTATGGAACAGCAGCAAGTGTTGTGGGGAGGGCAGCTGTCGCGACCTTTCCACCGCAAAAGGGGCATCAAGCAAGGTTGTCCCTTAGCACCATTCATCTTTAACTTGCTGATGGAATCTGTGCTCGAGTCAGTTGAGGATGAAATAAAGAATCTGAAATTGAATCAATCGGAGCGTTTTACCAAATATATTACATTAACAATATGATCCACTCTTTCGCTTAGCTGGTGAACCAAAATTTTAGCGATGAAAGCACCTCTATGGCCGAAAAGGCTACCAACGTATTTGTTTATCGTCACGAGGGGTAACACAAATGATTTTTTTTTAATATTTCAATTGAATGTATTTCAGCATATTATTTTATTTGATGACAACAGTGACATGTCAGACAAATTTTAAAGTAATATACCCAATGTAATGAATGGAAATATTGTGACTCTTACTTTTGTAATAAGTGCTATATTCGCACACCTCGATTGTAATTGAATGATTGTTGCTGACCTTTTTCAACGCTAGATGTTGTGTGAAGCAATATTTTGCGGGTTGCAATATTTGGAAAAGGCATGAATGTATCGTATTGTTAATATGATATATTTGGTTTTACGTTTCCCATGGTTTTAGCGTTTGCGGACGATCTAATAATCATTGCGGAATCGAAAGAGGATGTTGAAAAAATTTATTCGAAACTGCAAGAATACCTATCCTACGTCGGACTCAACCTGAATGAGAAAAAGTGTACAAGACGACAGAACCTCTGCGATACTTGGGGGTATACTTTTTTTTCCTTGATTTGTTTTCCGTCGATCTTGTTTTCCGTGCAGAGCACCAATGCTACCGACGCCAGGGAGGCAGCTTCCACACCTGGACCCTACTAATCGACCCATCAACTCATATGCCTCAGAACATCCCGGCGGTGCCGACTGGGATTGAACCCAGGCCTGCTGGGGTGAGAGGTAATCACGCTTACCACTACACCACCGAAGCCACTTGGGGGCATACTTAACCTCCAGATTAGAAAGGCCAATGACTACGCGCACGAGATGCCGAAAGGCAGTTCGTATCTCTAAAGCCGTAATGCAATTTCTTAAAAAGTATCAACCAGACTGGAGAATTGGGCGAATCATCTATAAAACTGTTATAGCACCTGTTATGCTGTACGGCACACAGGTTGCCGTTCTAACGAAATACAGTCGAAAATCAATACGGGGATACGAACAACAAATCGTGAAAGGGATGTCCGTTCTATGTAGCAGTTAGGATGGATCTGAACTTCCACGGTCTGTAAACCAATTGCTGCAGAAACGGCGGATCACCAAGAAGGTACGCATGTACCAGATGCGATGATGGGGCCATGTACGGAGACGACCCTCATCTCATCCACTACGCTGTGCAGCTTGTCTGAGAGCTTGGGTCCGAAGAGAGTACCAGAGCTGAGCCAAAAAGTTGAGCACGTTTCTTCGGGACCATCTAGTCTTAGAGTTATCTCTATGGTACCACCGCGTTTGGCTTTGTCGGCATAAGTTAGACTTTACTTTTTTGCTTCATGGGTTACGTTGCACAACCAAAGATGGAAAATACCCATCCCGGGATAGCACTTTTTTTTGTAACTTCTTTCCTGCCCTCTATATCACTTCCGGCTCACGAACTCCAATATCCCCCTAACGAAAAACACATCATTAATCATAATCAATTGAACTTTCACTTTTCAAAAACTAATTTGACACTATTTTCCCAAATAAAATTGCATCACACTAATAAGCACAACAGTACACGATGCAGGGTTGCCAGCCGGATCCTTATTGCCGAGCTATCCACGAATAAGCCGTGGGTGATTATCTCATTTGTTTCAATATGTAAAGCTATACTGTCTTGCACAAAGTTATTGTAGTGGGTTAGACAAATAATCCTGTGCTATTTGATTCAGGTTTAATTGGGAACTACGCCGCTAGAGGCGCTTTACTTTCAGATTATTTCAAACAGGCACTATAATAAATATATTGAATTTGGTATAACGTTGGGAATTGGACCAACCGGTGGAAACTAACGATTTTAAATTGGCTCGCTACTTGATTAGTCTATTAGTCCTAAGCAAATTGATTAACGTACCCCATTCTAGTCGAAATCCTAGTACTACGCAATGTTTGTTTTAATTCGCTATGAAAGATAAAATGAGGGCTTCGTGGATTTTCCTATGTTTTGAGGGGTGCATCGATTAGCTTTGGAGCAAAGATACACACTTTGAAATAACTAATTTTACACGTGACGGAATCCATCTTTGACATAAAAGATGAGACGTAAACAAACATGTCATGTAAAATTAAGTGCTCCGATACTGAAAAGTTCGAAAGTACGTTTGATTGAGTGAATTTCGCGTCTATTATGACTCAATTTTATGTCAAAATTGACGCTCGTATATGTCAGTCTCAGAGCACCTAAATTTACATCAATTTTTCTAAGTGTGTAGTACCAGAGCTGAGCCAAAAAGTTGAGCACGTTCCTTCGGGACCTACTAGTCTTAGGCTGTGTTCCATTTGGTGAATTTTCACATAAATTTGACAGATGAAAATTTTTCAAATAAACCTGCTATTTCAGCAGACTTATTTCTGACAGACAAGGAATCAACTTTGACAGACGCTTTCTTGAAAATCGGCCGATCAACAACAGAAGGATTTTCAAACATCTTAATTTATTTTCGAAGTGTCAAATTTAAGTAAAAAATGTCCAAATGGAACATAGCCTTAGAGTTACCTCAATGATTGGACAGCATTTCTAAAACCACTGGCCGCCATCTTGGATTCGAAAATGTCCATGTTGTCCCCGTTTCAGAAATACCCAGCGTAGCGTATTTGACAGTTTTTTTTTAAACCGATGGCCACCATCTTGCATTCCAAAATGGTGGCAGACATTGAGTTTTAACATTCACACGTCGTCCTCGTTCCGAAAATAAGAATTTTGTTAGGTATTTTACATTATATCTAAAACCGATGGTCGCCATATTCGATTCTAAAATGGCGTCCTACATCAATTTTCGACCTCTACTCGTCAAATATTGATATTCTCTGGGTATTTGACAGTGTTTCTAAAACAGATGGCCGCTATCTTGGATTACAAAATGGCGTCATGCCTCGATATTCGGACTCTACACGCCCCCTGGAAATACTCACATTGCACAACACCATATAGAATAGGCTTTCGAGCCATAGCATATTCAGGAAGTTCGCATGTACACTAGCGCCACTTAAAGAGAGAGTTCTGAACAAATATGAACATCATCCGAAAGACCGCGGTCATCTGAACAACTTTGCTGAAGACATTAACCTTCCAATGACCACGATCTCGAGATACAGCTTATACAGGAAGTTCATAAGCACAATAGCACCGCGTAGTGAGAGAGTTCTGAGCTAATATGACCACCATCCAAAAGGCCTTGGTCGCCTGAACAACTTGCGCCAGACAGCAACTTTTTATATGACCAGAACTACGAGATATTCTATGTTGGTCCCAAATTCCATACATTATAGTGCCCGTCATAAGTAATATGAAAGTGAAGCGCTTCTAGCGACCTAGTTCTCAATTAAACCTGAATCAAATGACACAGGCTTGTTGGTCTAACCCAGTACACTAACTTTGTCGAAGACAGTATAGCTTTATATATTGAAACAAATGAGATAATCCCCCACAGCCCCTATTAGTGAAAATCCCATAAGATGTGGGTATCCTTATTCGCGGTTCTTGAACATCCCATCACCATAATGTCAAACACCACGCGTCCACTTTACCCCCCAAACTGAAATACATCAGTGTGGGTGGGCGATTTGACTTGCAAACTTGAATGTCAAGTTCAAAACTTTTCCAAGCGTAACAATTTTCCACAGTTTCCATCCTTAGAACGTTCGCTCGTTTTCTCTCGGCTCCTTGCAATCTCTCACCTGACTCTCACCAAACTCTACACACTCTCTCTCTCTCTTTCTCTCTTTTTGTTCATAGGTGTAGAACCGTAACGAAAATGTTTATGTTGACATCCACACTCGCCACCTTCTCCGCATCGCCGTTGGTTTCAGTGTGGGTTGTTCTATCAAAACAGAGCAATAGACACATGCCATCAGCAGGTGGCGTTGAGTTAAAAGGTTAGAAGTGAGAGATAGCAACCAAATCGTCCTCTCGAGAGTGAGAGTACACCGTGCCCTTAAAATTATGCTGAGAGCATCAGGACAACTCTGTCGGTCCACTGGCTTTCCACCAGCATACTGCAGTGGATCCTTGTCGAAAGTGGACGTGTTATTCGGGTATCTCTTCCGGTCACTTTCCAGCAACACACCAGCTCACACCAAACATTTACATTCTTCACCTCACGGCACCACCCACTACAGAACCCGTTTTCACCCTCATCCATTTTCACCCTCTCCCTCGCATCGCAGACCACAAGTGAACTTCCGGAGATCTGCCATCTGATAGGAAACGGTGAATCCCGCATCATCTTACGCAAAACTAATTTTCCCGCATTGTAACAGCGTCGTGGAGTCCCGTGAGAAGTGAAGTGTACCTTTCCTTTGTGAAACCAGATCCGATTATTGCCCAACGAAGAAATTGTGCGAACGTTCGTGCGTGAAAGCGTGTGTCCCTCGGCGAGTACAAGTGCCGCGAGTAATGAGTGCACAATTTGGCCAGCATCCACGAAGCGGTTCCGGAAAGTGAAGACCAACTTTGTCCCTTCTCCTCGCTTTGAAAAGGAAGTTTCACACCTCCCGGCGGTGGCGGCGTTGGTGTCAGTCAGTAGTATTGGGTTTAATTTAGGTGCAATTTAATCCTCCGAACAAAGCGGATAATTAAGAGTGCGAGGAGCAGAGTTAAAGAACGGAAAATTTGGAAAGCAGCATACTGTCGACCCCCAGCCTGAATTCACGGAACGACTAACCCTTGGGAAATTTATCACCAACTACAAGCGTCGACGACCGACGATACGACAACAGCTGTCAGAAGAAGATCGCGACCAAGGATGGACGGTGCTGGGAATAAGAAGAACACCGTGTCGGAGTTCAGCTACATGTTGCAGAGACAAGTAAGTACCTACGGCGGAAATTCTACGAAGGATGCTTTACGTTTTCCAGTTTATTATTTTTTTTTTGCTGATGGCTTCTGTTTTGACGGAGGCATGGATTTATCGCTTCGTGAAATGTGGATTATACCATGGAAATGTCAGCGTTGCGTGGAATGGGAAGGAAATTTCACGGATGCTAAATGTTAATTAGCTTCACAGGTGCTGGTGCTGCTGGATGTGGGTGGTTTATGATTATTTAAATTGTAATATGATTAAAGACGAACTTTTCTAAGCAAAGTGTTGAATTGCGGATTCAAAATTTATGATTCGTTAAATTATTGTGAAGTACTGGGAAGGTTAAATTTCCATTCGCAATTAGATAAATTAAACAGAACAATCAACTGCTGTGCTTAGAAATTCGTGACATATTAAAAACCATTAATGGTACAGAGCTATTTTATAAGTTTGGGTGCCAATGGATTCATAATACAGTAAACTCTCTAAATCTCGATATTGAATGGACCATCGAGTTAAAGAAATATCGAGTTATAGAACAACAATCCCATAGGAAATCATTATGACATTTGTGGAGAACTAACTGTAGCTGTGTTGAATGACACATCTAGAACTCGCTCGAAGTTGTCCACACTTATTCGGGGTTTTCTGTCAAGAATGACTGTCAAACCTAGCTCGATAGACGTTAGTTTGTTCTTGTTCTTCTCTGAAATCCTCGAGGTCATACATCTAAATCTCGATAGAGTTAGACCTCCTAGAACTTATACGCACTAATAGTGCAAGCTGTTCCAATCACATCGAATTCGGTCGAACTTTGGCTGAAGTTGTTCCGATCTACAGTCAACTCTCCACAACTCGATGTCCACTAGCTCGATACCGAGTTATAGAACCATTTAAACATTAATTTTATGGCTACTGTTATAGCAATTTTGTATGAGATTGTTATTCTATAACTCGATAATTATATAACTCGCTGGTCCCTTAAATATCAAATTGTAAAGTGTTCACTGTATTTTGACCTATCAATAAACAATGCTAATATAAACAAATAAATTTCGTATGAAACTTGGATACGTTGAAAAAATATAAACTACGATCTACACTACTTCGAGGTTTAAGACAGAATTAATTTTTCAGCATTAAAAGCTATTGAACTGTCCTGAAAGTCCGAAGTCTTCCAGGTCCGAGATTCAGGATGGTGCTGCGTCGTCAGTTGGTGGCTCGTTGGTGTTGTTGCTACCAGCTATCGATGGTAAAGCTGTTTAGCCTAGCGACTTTCTGAATTCTTCAATTGTCACCGTCGTATTTAGAGATGGGTGGTTGGGGTTAACCTTGTTAACTTATATGCAGTACCGTACAAAAGTATGTAACATCGTGATTTTCGTTTCTCTCAGAAAAGTTCAATGAGCTGTAATTTTTCAGGATGTTAATCATAATTTCTTAGATTTTGGCTGATTCAAGGTATCGATATTGTTTTGGGCTTGATTTGATTAATCTAAAGGGTTTTCCATTAAACGTTTGCTATCTTTAAAGCATGAGCATGAGCATGATTGACCGCCCACGGTTGCTACTCTGTTATTACCAGATCAGCTGTAATTACACAAAGAACCAATAGACGATACCAGAGTTTTCCCATGATGATTCGCTGCATAAGATGGATTGCATTCTGACGGCGGTCAGCGTAGACGAAGAAACCATCCACAGACTAGGCTGCTGAGATACGAGCTGACCGATACGATTACGGTGCGGTGCGAAAGGTCAATCTTTTTACTGACCAGCAAGAAGAAGGTCGACTTCTTGAAGCAGATCGATAAGGACGGTGAGGAGAGCATTCCGTCGGTGAAGCTGTTGGTTCGGGATAAGAACGACAAAGACAAGACCAATTTTGAAAAGCTGCTGGAGACGATCAAGGGATCAAAGGATGGCAAAACGTTGGGCGTCCAAGGAAAACTTTCCCGGTGAATTCTGTGAATCGTGGCGAGCCTTCGTCAAGGACAAGAGCTTTAACACGGTGGACATCAGCGTCCCAATCGGGTACATCATGTGCTACAAGAAGGACTCCGAGGTTATCACCATGAAGGAAGCCTACCTGGTGACGATAAACGTATTCAACAAGATCACATGATGGAGATTATCGATGCTTTTAAGAAAGTAAAACATGCCAAACTGCCGGAGGGTGTCAAGCATGCTCTGATGGACAAAAGGTACGTCTCCGGTGTGGATACCAACTCGTTGGACATGTGCTACCCGGCGATTATCCAGTCGGGGGGCAATTACAGTTTGAAGTTAAGTGCATTCAGCGACTAGAACTATCTGCACTTCGGATAGATCATCTGTGCTCTTCGTGCGCGATATAAGTCCTACTGCTCCAATGTCGTCCAAACGTTGCTGATCAATCCGACGGAAACGATTCAGAAGCACTACACCTTTCTTCTCAATCTGGAAGAGGAACTGCTGAAGGTGATGATTCCGGGCAAGAAGCTCTCGGAGGGTTTTGATTGTGCCAAGAACGAGGATCCCACGCTAAGACGTTCGGTTTTGCGATCGGGTTGCATTTCCGGAAGAATTCTATCATAGTACCTCAACCAGTGATATTCAGTTTAAAAATTATATGTTAATTAGGTTGAGTGGAAGCAATAAAAATTCCGTGTGATTGTGCCGCGAAAAGTAGCTCGGTATTGTTCAAGTGAGTTTGGTTTGGTAGATGACCATTTGACGGATTGCTTGTGATTTGCTGCTAAAACGAACGGTCCCTGCATAATATTTCCATATCCATATTTCCGTAGCAAACCGCCACCACTGCGTGATCCAATCCATCAAAATTGTTCATGCATTCCGGTTCGTAGTACACTCCATTTGCGTAGTAGCTGAAAGACTTGTGACCGGCATCGATAGCAATCGACAGCCCTCATAAGCCTACATTTCGAATTTAAATGTGAACCGAAAAGTGAATTGCTAGTCTGTGTTCCTCTAGTATATTCAATTAGAGTATGTTTCTGAAATACACAGTCAAACAGTACGTAATGTTGTGAAGCGCTTCAATGACAGCTGTCTAGCAGTGCTCCCACTTTATTTAATGAACAATCTAATGCCTACGAGACTGTGCCGAAGGTGTACCGATGGATGTGCCCAAGCTGTGCCGAATCTACTTTCGGCACACTGTGCTTAGTGACTTACCCCTTGCCTGGGATAAATCTTAACGTAATTTCCCATCAAGACTAAGGCCAACAACATAGTAAAAGCGATTCGAAGTGATTCGATGTGTTGGTAATAAGCGAAGCGCTTGCGTGAAAGCTCCCGCTATGAGCGTTCTATGGGAATCGCCCAAACCTGTCATAGTGAAAGCGATGCTATGAGGTGTGCAGCGTTCAGCAATGCGACAAAGCTATTCGTGTTGTGTTTGACGCCTGCGAACGCAAATGGACTGATTCTATTGAGGAAAAATGGACACCAATATCCTTTTGGAACATCTGATTGCTCAAATAGAATACCCATATCCATTCTTGTGTAAGACCGAAACTTCTCTGGATATTTACGAAGATCTTCGTACAATCTGAAGAACTCTTTATCTTGCCTTCTATTTCGATTGATCGGGTGAACTGCCAACTCTCTTTCGTTGCTCATTACGACATTAATCGTGCTTGAGGAAGCGAAATATTCCTCATCGGATGAATCCATGTTGAATTGAAACAAATTTGAACAAATATTTTGCACTGCGAACGCGACTGTAATGTTTTCAAAAAACGCTTTCACTATGTCATAGGTTGCTCTGCTTGCCGCTTCATTTTGCTTTGCCAATTGCTATCGCATTGAATCGCTTTGAATCGCTTCTACTATGTTGTCGGCCTAAAACATGTGTATGAACCTGGATCGAGCAAAAGTCTTATTCTACCAACAATAATGCTTTTGTATTCCAAATGTTTCCAACAGTTTGCCCGCACGTTCAAAAGCAATATCGTACCTCATTAGAACAATAATATAGTTTTAATGAAACTTCAAACTTAATCTTAATACAATTAAAGCGCAGCACACGGATCACACGCGACTGAACATTATACAAAAAATAAAACTAGCGAACACCTACTGTAACAACGCATCGAAATCTAATCGACCGAGTGGCAAACCTGCATGTTTGATGACGGCGATCACGACATCACACACTTAAAACCTTACAAACAGATCAAACGCACCGGGAAGCAAACGAAAATCATGATACAAACCTCAACTGGAACACACTCACCAAATCAATACATGTATTTATCCCGACCACATACTGTCTAGGAGCGTATTCCAGAAGCTTCTATGCTTCTCTAACTAAATACACAGCTGAACGGCAACCTGGCAGAGCAAACCTTTTTTCATCTCACAAAACGACACGAAAACCATATTTTTTTCGTTTATTAACAAAAGCAATTACGCCCAAATATCAAAGTTCACCGGATATGATAAACTTCTCATCCATATCACCGATCAGCCACAGACCAAGCTCAAACAACGGCATTTTATTCCATTTCCCCTTCAAACCACTCCGTGCACAAGAACAATGATCATCACAAAAACCCAACAATAGATCGCGGTCGAGTCACACCGGCAACAAAGGAAGCGAGAGCACACCAAGCACCCAAGCAACAGGGGGAAAACAGCTGCACAAACCTTTCCAAACCAAATCATCGTGCTCGGGACACAAAACCAACAAAATGCGAGCACCGAAAAACTCCACACCAGCACAAAGACAGGCAGGATTAAAAAAAAAAACAAAAACAAAATAAAAGCACGCAGCGGAGCAAAACACAACCGTTCTCGAATGATACTCAAAGCGCTCTCACCATTAAGCGTTTGCTATCTTTAAAATTAAATGGCCGATGGAAAGGCCTATCAATAACATTATACAGCAAAAAAATAATTTTAATATTACATCCAAGAGGATGCACTTCAATCATGGCAAAAATCTCATGTAATTGTTATGGCCACAAAAATACAACATGCACTGTATTTAAGATAATTTT